AGAAAGAAAGAAAGAAAGAAAGAAAGAAAGAAAGAAAGAAAGAAAGAAAGGAAAGGTGAGATTATTTGAAAGATGAAGATTTTTCATATTAAAGAAGCGGTCCTCAACTCTAGCTGTCTGTCAGAAGAGGTATTGAGTTTTTCATTTTGTTGTGTTTTTCAAATATAGTTGCATAAATAAACCTTTCTCTAGGCTTCATAAGAGTCTCAGAGTAGAGTTCAGTTGTGTGAACTTTATTTTTTTTTTTGGAAACCATGTTATTCTAATTCATACCTAGGGATTATAATATTGGTAAGTTTGGACTTCCCATCTATACTCAAAACTGAATTATAAACAATTTAGACAGCAAAACCGTATAATGTGACAGCTCATAGGGACAGACTACAGTGAATAAAGTTTCCCATACCTTACAATAATGCAAGCCTAAGATACTCCTTTCATTTATTCTAACTCTGGGACCTGACAAACACTTTTCCTTTTACCTGGAAAGCCCTTATTTATATCATGCCTTAGGCTGGGTAACTCCCACTTCTCAAGATACAACTCAAGTATTATCCCTCTGCAAAGCATTACTGGCCCCCTGCTGCTGGCCCAGGCTAAGTTACGTTCCCATTCTCCAAACCTCTTTGCTCAGGTCTATCACAGAACATATCACACAATGTAGGACAATTTTCCTGACTCCTTTCTCAGTAGATTCTGTGATCCTCAAAGGTAGAATGTGAGCTTTCTTTTTTTTTTCATCTCTAACATATTGCAATAAAAGTTTGTCAGACCGAAGTTTGTCAGTCCATATTTGAAAACAGTATGTATAGTATTGTTCAAAATGCCTAAGCTTTTCTGGGCAAGAGACAGTCTGAAACTTAAAACTCTAGTTAACAGCAAGCAGATATGAGCAAATGTATTTTTTCTACTATGCTATTTTAAAAAAAATTTTTTTTTCAACGTTTATTTATTTTTGGGACAGAGAGAGACAGAGCATGAACAGGGGAGGGGCAGAGAGAGAGGGAGACACAGAATCGGAAACAGGCTCCAGGCTCTGAGCCATCAGCCCAGAGCCCGACGCGGGGCTCGAACTCACGGACCGCGAGATCGTGACCTGGCTGAAGTCGGACGCTTAACCGACTGCGCCACCCAGGCGCCCCTCTACTATGCTATTTAAGGAGTCTCTTGATTAATATTTTTTTTCGTGTACTGGCTAAGCCTAAACCAATGTGCATTCATTCCGGTGGTACTCCACCAGGTACATGTCACAGTAAACATGAAAATTCTAAATTTAAAGTATTTCTCAGGGCGTCTGGGTGGCTCAGTTAGTTGATCACCCAACTCTTGATTTCAGCTCAGGTCATGAACCCAGGGCTGTGGGACTGAGCCCCACATCAGGCTCCATGCTGAGTGTGGACCCTGCTTGGCATTCTCCCTCCATCTGCCCCTCTCCCCAGCTCGCGCACTCTTTCTCTCTAAAAATAAATAAATTAATAATAAAACAAAACAAAACAAAATAAAAATATTTCTCTCTGTTGCCACAATTCTCTTATAAGGTTAATCTCAACACTAACAAACTATGTGCATTAAATTGGATGATAAAGGCAAAAATAAAAATCAATGCTAATAGTGATCTCAAAAAAAAACTAGACTGATACATAAACATGGCATTACCAGAGCGTGCTATGCCACTGTCTCTGTCTTCATTCAGCTCTCTTCCAGGCATGTCCATTGGATTGCTGTGAACTGTGAATTAAGACAAAACTGTCAGTTATAACACATACTGCTATTCAGGGTGACGCCGTTCCTTGTATATAGCAAATGAAATCATGCTTATCTTATTGCATTCCTTTATAATTTTCAATAGCATGGCACAAACCCAACACCAAGAGCTAGTACTCAGTTGAACAAGCTTTGAGATCTATGTGAAGATTTGAAATATAATATGAAAATGATGCAGTATCTAAACAAGCAAAGGAAGACTAAAAGGAAGATATTCACAATACACTATTAAATGACCAAAAAGCATGCTACTAAACAATAAGAATGATGGTCCTGGCAGTAAGTGATGGGTATACAATGGTTTGCTTTACTATTCTGCCTATATTAATGTATGTTTAAAATTTCTTCATAATAAAAATTTTAAGAAAACAACTGGAATAGTATGATCCCAATTTTGTTTTTTGTAAAGATTAATTCTAGCTGACACAATGGCTAATATATATTTTTTTGCCTATTTTACAAATTTTCTGTAATAAATTTGTACTGTTCCTGCCTCATATTTATAAGGAATATAAATATTAATTAAAACAAGAAGTCAGATACAACTCCCTGAATACAGAGGCATGAACATACACTATAATCATCAATGTAATGATATAAACAAATACACTCACATACACCTTTTACAGATCAATATAATGGTGCTTGTTCATCTAAATCTTAGCTCCAAGAAAAATCGTTCTTATGAAATAATGTAGATCAGAAATTTTAAAATAATAAGATAGGATATTTTCTGCAATCGGTGAACTATGAGTACAAAAGCTACTCAACCATGGAAACAAGAGAGTGTCAAATTAGAAATTCTAGCTGTTATTATAAGAAATAATGTTCATAGTAAAATTTGGTTTAGGATTCTAAAGTTAAAATCTTTATTACATAATGAGATATGAAATAACAAACTAAAGTTTCATGAAAATGTCAATTCCACTGATAGCTGAAAGTTTCTGGAAACTTTTAAGAACATATTCAGCGAAAAGGAATTAAGTTCTCAGCTCAAAAATGTTTTCTTAACTACACCCTCCCCAAATGCATTTATCTACTCTCTTGTTTCCACAGCTAAACTACAGATTCTAGCCACTGGGGCACACCAACTAGTCTACCCACACAGCACATCGCAAACCTGCAAAGAAAGAGGCGCTCCTGATCAGGCGGAGCGGACCCTGTTCAGAGAATGCCCGCCTGGGGCTGCAGAACTGTGAAAGACCTACATGGCAAAAACGTAAAATACATATGAAAGAAGGCTGTTAGAGAAGCCATAAAGCGTCAGGAATAAAGGGTGAGCTTAGGCAGCACAAACGCACAGCAAGAGATATGGATGGAAACTTTTAAACTAAGTAAGAATAATTCAAACAGGGTTCCCTTCTTCGAAACAGGATGGTTTTCTTCTGGTCACAGCTGATGTCAAACGTAACAATTTCATGCCTGTTTACTAATAAATCTGTATATATAATAATAAAAATAACCTTCCACTATACAAGGTAAGTTTTTTAAATGTTCAACCTTTTCTAACCTAAAACAATGGTTTAAAGATTCAAAAAAGCACAGTAACATTATCTATAAAATGTGATATTTGCCAAATAAATTTATCTTTTAAAAAGTCAGTTTTAAGACTACAGCATTCTGCCACTGTCATAAGGAGAAAACCACCTAAGTGCTTGGCTGAAGAAAGAGAACACAACATACAACAAAGCAGAAAAGAGATTTACTGGCAAAACAGGTATGAAACTTGTTTTTCCCTAACCTAGTAAAGCTACAAAGTAACTAACTTTGGAAGAAACCAAAGTTCCTAACCCAAGGGTCAGCCACAATGGAAGGAGGAACACCAACGCACCCATTAGGGCCAGACTCCCAGCTGTCCACAAAGCATGGCCGCCACACACTGGACCAAACGAAGATAACAGTGTCTAAAGACCCCAAAGGGGCAACATTATAGCCGGGAAGCAAGCAGCTGAGTCACCTGTTATGGTTAATCAAGATGGCCTAAAGAGTCACCTAGGAGGTTTACCTAGGAAAGAATAGGGGGCTTTCTGTTCTAAAAAGAAACAAATGTATTTTTCAAATTTGCTAATAGATATTTTTCTATAACAAAAATTTCTAAAATTATAGTGCATGTGAAGGCAATCCTTCTCTAGTCACTTCAAAACTTACCTAATGTCTTTAAACTCCTTCTCTACCTAGCACCTCCTTCCTTACTCTCAGGATATGCGACTTCGTCTCTCACAAGTATGCAGATGCAGATGCGTATGTGTGCACACACACAGATTTCACCAGACAGGAACTCTTCCTTTCCTACCCCCTTATCTCCAAACTTAATCAAACACTGACCCACCTGCCTCCTTGATGCCAGTGCAGTAACAACAGGAAACATTATTCAAATCTTACTGTGTGCTAGGAACTTATTCAGTGAAAAATCCTGGGAAGCTCCTCCCTCCCTTCCAAAGCAAATTCTTCTATGTCAGATAGTACCTTCAAAAACCTTGCTTTACCAAGTAAGTACCACTTCTATCTCTAACCTTACCCTCCTTATAATCTATTCCATCAACATTTAAACACAGACAAAATTATTCTCTCCATATATCTAATCCTATATAATAGTTCAATAGTTCTTAAAATGTGGCCTAAGGACTCCTTGGGTCCCTGCAACCTTTCAGGGAGTCTGTGTAAAACTAGATTTTCTTAATACACTTCAACTAAAACAACATATTACAAAAGAATGAACGTTGAAGCAGATAGGAGAATACAGGCAATATTCTATTAAGCCAGAAATTAAAGAGATTTGCAAAAATGTAAAACAATGCCACTGTTCTTCATTAATTTTACTTGGAAAATAATCATTTCACAACATATTTACATTAACATGAAAAAGGATGTTAGTATTTTTTAATAAATTAATAAATGTTTAAAAATCGTTTCAATTTTTAATACAGTATATATCAACAAACGTAACCCACAAAAACAAAAACTCTCTGTGGTCCTCAATAATTTCTAAGTGTGTAAAGGGGTCTTGAGATCAGAAAGAGTCACTAATTAAATCTTGGAAAAAAAGTCTAACCTCTGAGTCTCTCCTCAACTCTGGCTTCTATTCTCCCCACTGAAACTGCTCCAGTAGGCCACTAAAAGCCTTCTTATTGATTAATGCAGTCCATACTATCTTATATTACTTTATAGCATATGTGATGTTAAATTACACTTTGAACTTTCCCCTCACAATTTACAATGATAACATACTAAGTTTTTTTCTTAATCTTCTTTATGTGTTTCTCTTCACCTACTCTGTCTTTAACTCAGCATTTCCCAGGGTTTCATCTTCAACAATCTTGCCTTCTCATTCTTTAACAGTTCCTAGGTCATCTCATTCATTCTCATGCTTTTACTTACCATTTACATGTTAATGATTCATAATTCATGGCAGACACAGCTAACTGTCTAACAAAGAACTGTGTTCTCCCTTCTACTGTATCAAGTAGTTTGTGGGAAGCAGCTGCCCAGCTAGGGATCATATTTCTCAAATCTCCTTATACGTATGTGAGGCCATGTGATTAGTTACCACTAATGGAATGTCAACAAAACTGATGTATGTCACATTCAGGCTGAGGTTAATTATGAAATCGAGTGCCTTTTCCATTCTCAATTCCTTTCCACTGGCTTAGTGCAGCTGAGCACAACCTTGGAAACCACACAATGAAGAAGGCAGAATTCTAAGAAAGAAGGAACTCTAAAACATTGCTTGCAGAAAAACTGTTAATCAATGATGAACACCCTTTAGAACTCCACATGGCTGAAAAAAAACCTCTATTGCTTTAAAGTTATTATACACCCATGGATTTTTATGTTACAGCATCTACCACTACATCTACTAACTAACTAACCATAATGGATATCTTTACTTGAACACTCAACCAATACCTCCATTCCAATATACCTAAACCTAAAATCACCAATTCTTAATTTCTTCTGATTCTCCCAATAAATGGCACTAATACCCAAGCATTTATACAACCAGATAGCAAAGTGCCACCCTTGCTTCCTCCTTTTTCCTCCCCCACTCCATCTAATCACCAAGTCAAGTCCTATCCACTCTATTTCCCATAATGAACCCCTCAAAAACACTCTACCTCACTGGCACAATCTTACTCTAGGTCTCCTTCTCTGTCACTTGGATTATCATAAGCAGCCTTCTTATATAGATCTTTTCTTCAATCCCATTGGTTCACTTGAATCCTTTCCCACTGCAATCAATACTCTTACAGATATAAATCTAATCCAATCATATTTATATATCCTGACAACTCCTCTGTGGTGGCCTTGAGAATACATTGCAAAGACCTCCAGCTATAAGGACTATAATTGACTAAGTACCTCAAGCTACTGCATTCTGAAATCTATTGTGATGTTTGAGCAAGGCCACATATCCCATAGGCTGCTCCTAGTCAGTAACTGAACACAGGAGGAATAGTAAGACAGGCACATTTTGGCAATACATGGGTCACTTTTGACACCAAACTTTGACTCAAAGACTTGTCAATGGCCTTACCAAACCTTCCTTGGATTGCATGGTGGGATAGGACACTTCCATTTAATCTTCTATTCTCTTTCATTTGGGGTCAACATTTGTATCACAATCTGAGGGCTTTCTCAACCTTTCCCACTTCCTTCCTCTTTTTCTCTCACATAGTCATTTCCCCTAATAATATCCTTGCATATTTAATCATGTCTTGGTACCTGTTAAAAAACAGGTGGAGCACCCAAACTAACATACATACCCTCACTGCTACCCAACTGCTTACAACCTATATCCAAATTGCTCAGTAAGTCCCACAGTGCCTTCTGTGATCTACCTCCTACTTCTTGATTTAATCTCCTTTACTCCTATTCTTGGCTCCATCAACACTGATTTATACACATTATTTCTTCATGCCATCATCTCTTGCTCCTAGGCCTTTGCAAATACTATTATGCTTTTTCCTAGAACATTTCTATCTAAACATAAGGCTAATCCTTCAAGGTTAAGTCTCACTTCTTCAAGGAAATCTTCTGGGACTCTCTAGGACTGAATTAGGTACTTCTCCTCATTTCTACCACACGTGCTCTTTAACATGTCCAAAAATTAACTGTAGTACACTGTAATTGTTGTATTATTTGTGTGATTCCCACTAACTATAATTACCAAATACGTTGAGGCAGGAATTGTGTCTGGTTTACCACTGTATCCTTAGGGCCTAGCAGAGTCCTTAGCAGGTAATAGGTGCTTGATAAGTATTTGTTGATTAACTAAAAATGTAAAGAAAATAAGAGATGGTCCTCAAATATCCTTAATTCACAATTATAAATGTGCAAGTTAAAGTCACTCATTATTTAAAGTCTATACTTTGTTAAATGGATTAATTTCCTATCCTACGTTAAAACAGAAGATGAGTATATCTAGCATCTATAAGGTACTTTACCATTTATAAGTGATAATAGATTTGTATTATTAAAATAAACAGCTTTTAATTAACATCTTAAGCTTTGAAAAGTGTCAAATCATAAGGAAAAAAGATTCATTTATTTCCCTGTCACATTTTTACTTTCTTAAAACCAATAAAATAATCAAGTGAGTTAAGAAAAAGCAGAACTACTCCATCTTTCTAAAAAATATGCAAACTTTCTAAAGTACATGTCTTTCACTGTAACTAGCCCATACTATGTGCTAAATAAATGGTTGCTCATTTGAATAAACAGGAATTATGAAAAATAATAGAATACAATACAGTTCAAGTTGGAAGAAAAACATTTCTACTTATATATATAACTAATATTTATTAAAATTAATTCCAAATAAAAATTCTCACTAAATAGAGAGTAAGAGAAATATTTCTCCTAGTCTAAATGCTGTCCACATTCTGGGATACTATAATATTTTATGCACCAGAAATATGGTCAGCAGCAACTCAGATGAGCTTTCTAGGGTAAAACAAATGGCAAGAAATTTTAGGAACAGTCTGTTGAAACTAAATAACAATAACAATCAACTATCTGAATTATTAAATAAGCTGTTACTTTAATAAATCTCTTAAGGAACATCACATTTGAATATCTGCCCATTTATGTGAATTCAGGTCACAAAATGAGCACCATTTTAAAATTACTTCTATGGTTAGGGAAGAGACAAGGGACAAAGTATAATAATAGTCTTCCTCAGCTGAAATATTCCAAAAAGCTGGTAAAGACTTTTTATATCAGTAACAGTGCCTTTCAAAGATGCATCAAAGTTAAAAACAAAAAACAAATCAGATAATCAGATATATCTTTAAGTTTTCTTTTTTCATATACAAAATAAATATTCAAATATATAAAAATTATGTTTTCAAATAATACAAATGTTATACATATTTGCAATTTAAATGCCTTTTCCACTTCTAGTATGTCAAACTCTGTGGTCTTATAAAAGATCTACATTATTAAGAAGTAAGTGCAAATCCCTGTTATAGTGTTAACCTTATTTAAAACTTATAAAACCAAAGGAATAATTTACCTATATTTCCAAGTAGTCCATTAATAACTGTGTTACTATCAGCCTTCAATGTACTGTTGTCTTGATTGATGAATTCAAGACTGTCTTGCAGCCTAAGGGAAGAGAAACAATAAACTGCAAATTCATTTTATACAATGAAATTTAAAGCGTCTAACAGTTTTTTAAGTTTTAAGTATTCACAATAGGACTATAAAGTACCTAATCATTTAGATCAGGGGTTGGCAAACTATACACTGAGGGCTAAATCCAGCCTGCTGCCTGTTTTTGTAAATAAAGTTTTACTGGAACACAGCCATGCCCATTCATATATGTACTGTGTATGGCTGTTTTAATGTTACAATGGTAGAGCTAAGAAACCAGACATACTGTCTGGCCTACAAAGCTAAAATTATTTACTATTAAGGCCTTTACAGAAAAAGATTACTGACCCAAATTTAAATTGTAAAGTTTCCCCTCATATCTTGGACCTGACATTAGTTTTGAAACTTCTGGCAGGAAAAAAAGACAAAAAAGGAAAAAGAATCCACCAAATATACAAAAAATATCTTCAGTTCACACATTATAAATGAACTGTATTACTCCTGTCCATAAATTACTCAGAATAATAGAAATAAAATTACTTTATGCTTTTAGTACAAAGTATCTGTCCTAAGAACCATCAATAAACAATTAGAAAACATGAAGAAAATGAGAAGACTACAGCTAAAATCAGTGATTCCAATACAGGATCTCTAATTTCTACTTTAGTGTTTAATTCTTAAAAATTAGCACTTTTATCATCAGTATTTTTTAAGCATCCAAAATACAGTGAAATACATCTTTCCTTTTCCTTCCTTCCTAAAAGAAAAGCTAATAAAGAGCTACAGGTATTAGAACCTTAGCTAATAAAACACCTGAAAAGTCTTTAGGAACATTTACAATTAATGGAATCTTTTGAGAATTTTTCTAGTTTTGAGTAAACTCCTTACTACCTCCTGTTGCTTCTGACTTTGGGTATCCCTCAGACCCTTGCTAGCCAGAGTTCTGATATGGTCCCTGCAGAATCCATCACTGTGGTCCACTAACATCTCATCCTAGCCCCAGTTCTTCATTTACTAGGTCTGGCAGGTAGTCCAAGAATCTGATATCATATGTGCCTCTGTTTCAGCTTTACTATTCCATTTTTTTTTTAATCCAAGTTAGTTAACATACAGTGTAGTCTTGGCTTCAGGAGTAAAAGAACCTAGTGATTCATCTCTTACATATGACACCCAGTGCTCTCCCCAAAAAGTGCCCTCCTTAATGCCCATCACCCTTTTAGCCCATGCCCCCACTCACCCAACTCCCCTCCAGCAACCCCAAGTTTGTTCTCTGTATTTAAGAGTCTCTTATGGCTTGCTTCCCTCTGTTTTTATCTTATTTTTCCTTCCCTTCCCCTATGTTCATCTGTCATGTTTCTCAAATTCCACATATGAGTGAAATCATAATATCTGTCCTTCTCTTATTTCACTTAGCATAATACCCTCTAGTTCCATCCACATTGTTGCAAATGGCAAGATTCCATTCTTTTTCAATACTGAGTAATATTCCTCTGTGTGTGTGTGTGTGTGTGTGTGTGTGTGCGCGCGCGCGCGCGCACCACATCTTCATTATCCATCTGTCAGCTGATGGACATTTGGGCTTCTTCTGTGATTTAGCTACTGTTGATAGTGCTGCTATAAACATCGGGGTGCCTATGTCCCTTCAAATCAGCACTTTTGTATCCTTTGCATAGATTGCTAGCAGTACAATTGCTGGGTCGTAGGGTAGGTCTATTTTTAATTTTTTGAGGAACCTCCATACTGTTTTCCACAGTGGCTGCACCAGTTTGCATTCCTACCAACAGTACAAAAGGGTTCCCCTTTCTCTGCATCCTTGACAACATCTGTTGTTTCCTGAATTAATTTTAGCCATTCTGACAGGTGTGAGATGGTATCTCATTATGGTTTTGATTTGTATTTCCCTAATGATGAGTGATGTTGAGCATCTTTTCACATCAATGGAACAGAATAGAGAACCCAGAAAAAGACCCACAATACACGGCCAACTAATCTTCCACAAAGCAGGAAAGAGTATCCAATGGAAAAAAGACAGTCTCTTCAGCAAATGGTGTTGGTAAAACTGGACAGGGACATACAGAAGAATGAAACTGGACCACTTTCTTACACTATACAGAAAAATAAATTCAAATTAGATGAAAATCCTAAATGTGAGACAGGAAACCATCAAAATCCTAGAGGAAAAAAAAGGCAGCAACCTCTTTGACTTCAGCTGCAACAACTTCTTCCTTGACATGTCTCCGGAAGCAAAGGGAATAAAAGCAAAAATGAACTACTGGGACCTCATCGAGATACAAAGCTTCTGCACAGTGACGGAAACAAGCAGCAAAACTAAAAGGCAACCAAAAGAATGAGAGAAGGTATTTGCATAAGACATACCAGGTTCACTACCCTAATCCTGGCATTAACAACTTGTAGTATCCTTGAACTCCACCACGGCTTACCTAGGCCAGTCCTGATTGCAGAGTTAATTCTACAGGGGACCTGAAAACTAAAGACCACAACATACAGGTGCTAACTCAGCATGGCACTACAGAACGGAAAATCAGTATCTCATCCTAACATGGAAATGCAGTCAACATTTCCAGATATAGCTTCTAGAAGCAAATTAGAGAAAAGAGAAAGTACATTTCCTATTCTTCAACTAAACTAAAATGAGAAGTAATCTGGACTCCATACAGAGTGGCTCAATGAATGAAAAACAAGCCAGAGACTCACTTCAGTTTTAAGGATGATATAAGCTCGATATAAAGGGATAGAATAAGATACTCCAGGTAAATGGAAATCAGAAAAAAGCAGGAATAGCTATACTTATATCAGAAAGAAGACTTTAAGCTAAAAAGAGTAACAGGAGACAAAAATGGTCATATAATGATAAAAGGAACAATTCATCAAGAAGACACAACATATAACAATCACGCACTCAACACCAGAGAACCTAAACAGATTCATTTGCCAAATACTAACAGATCGGAAGAGACAATGATGCAATGATTAGTAAAGGACTACTTTCAACAACAAATAGTTCATCCAGACAGAAAATCAACAAAGAAATTTTGGACGTGAACCATACCTTAGGCTAAATGGAACCAAACAGATATATAAATATAGATACAGATAAAACAGTCTATCCACAGGGAAAGCTGAAAAATTCAGAATATGGGGAGATTAAAAAACATGCTCCTGAACAACTAATGGGTCAAAGAAGAAATCAAAAAGTAAATTAAAAAAATACTCTGAAACAAATAAAAATGGAAGCACAGCATATCAAAACTTGTTAGAAGTGCTGCAAAAGGACTTAAAAGAGGGCAGTTATAGTGATAAATGCTTTCAGTAAGAAGCTAGAAATATCTCAAATAACCTTGATTTACACCTCAAAAACCCAGAAAAAAAGCCCAAAGTTAGGAAGTAAATAAAGATCAGACGGGAAATATATGAAAGAGAACAAAAAAAAAAATTTAAAGATCAGTTTAACTAAGGGCTAGTTTTCTAAAGAGACAAAATCAACAAACCTTTAGCCAGACTAACTCAAAAAAAAAAAAAAA